ATGCCTAGTCTGAATGACATTGGGGATCAAACCCAGGGCTTTGTGTCTGTTAAGCAAGCACTCAACTGAACCACGTTTTTCTCCACCCACATAAGCCCACTTTGTCCTTTGAGACTGGCCGCTCCCGGACTAACGGCAGTCTTCCCTCCTCCTGCTGGGATTACGTGTGTGTGCTACTATGCCTGGCTATGTTGTTTAAGTTGTTTCTTCTAGGTTTAAAAAGAACCCATAAACTTAAAATAAAACCGTTATTCAAACAAGCAAAAGCTACTTGTTTCCTTACCGCAATGACAGCATTCAGAAATGCAATTTGAACTGAGGATAACCACCCTCTTGAGTCTAGAAAATATACTTTATTTTAATCTGTCTTGAGTGGGTGTTATCTGGAGGACTTTGACATTCTTCCCAGAGCTGAGTGTCGGGGTATACACCTATAACCCCAGCATTTAGGCAGGGGTCACAGGTCTGAATACAACTCTGACTACAGAGACCTTATTTAAAAACAAACAAAAACCTGTCTATCTTTACCTCAACATGATTTACTTATCATTCCATTTACTACTATCCCCCCAAAGTCAGTACATTTTCATCACACAGAATGCGACTACGGGTGCACGGATGATCTCATATCCACAGACATACTTGTATATCTCAGATCGCCAACAATGGTTCCTACTTCTCATCTATAACTGCTAGAAAGAAAAGCACTTTGATCGCCTGATCCCCTTGTTGTATGTACACTACAAACAGGACAGGCATTCAAATGAAAGGGACAGAAGTCAGATGAGCTGGATCTTTAAACATCTTTACAATTTACAAGGAAATAGTCACTAGCACACACTACTTGCTCGTGGAATTTCCACTAAAACAATACACTTGCTCATTCTCCAGCACACCCGTTGTGTCGGACACTTGTGTGAACAACAGCCTTGAAAATGCAAGAAGTACCTGCCAAGTGACCAGGAGACAATGGCGCACTCCCCAGGAAGGAAAAGCAAGCCTGGCCCAGACTGACACAGGTAGAAATCTCGAAGACAACTCTCCTCTTCTCCACCCCCATCCCTGGTTTCTGCTGAAAATGACACCAAGTCTGACTTCATTTTCTCAGGATACTTATTTAAAAATCTGCTTTACATAAACATTCTGAGAACTGGGTAAGCAAACTTCAACTTCCATAATGTCACCACTGGTAATTTTCTTTCAAAAGCATGACTTTGTCCTTGGGCAGTGGGGTGAGGATGGAACTGGATGCAGGGTAGAAACCACACTCAATATAAGCTTAAGGACACAATTTGGTAGGTGAGACAAACAAACCAAACTGTCAACTACTTCTAAGAGGTAAGTGGGGATAGTGGAAAAGGAAAATCTTGGGGGAGCATTTGTCCTTTACTTTAAGGTACAGGACAATACAAGTTGAAATTTGGGGTAGCATGAAGTCCCATTACATGAGTAATAAGAATCAAACTCTTGTTTTTTTACCCTCTACTCTTTTCCCATCATCTATACTTTCCCTTTATGCTCCTTCCAATAAAACCATATTGGTGATATTTTGTTTGTGATCTAACAAATAAAACTTGCCTAATGATCAGAGTGAGGAACAAGCCACCATAGAAGCCAGGCACACACTTTTAATCCCAGCACTCAGAAGGCTGAAGCAGACAGGTGTCTGTGAGTTCAAGGTTATCCTGGGCTACACAAAACCAAAGCAACCTAAAAGAGAATCAGAGCCAGGTGGTGGTGACTCACATCTTTAATCCCAGTACTTGGGAGTCACAGGCCTTTAATCCCAGGACTAGGGATGTGGAGACAGGAAAGGATATGGCTGGGCAGAGAGGGAAATATAATAAAGTGGGACATTCAGTCTGAGGATGTTTTTTAGAGGTAAGAACTAACGGTTGGCTGCTCTGCTTCACTGATCTTCAGGCAAGCTTTGTTAGAACACAAACAAAATATCACCACGACCATATTTCAAGCAAACCCTAGGCACACAGTGATGAGCTGCAAGTGCACTGAAGGCAGTTCCTAGTTTTCCAGGTTCACACGCTTAAGGGAGATACTGAGGAGTCATTGCATTCACATTATATACCAGTGAGAGTCACCTCATTGACAAGATTCTTTTGGGGAAGCTTTTATGGAGTCAGAAGCTATTTAAAAAAAAAAAAAGTAAACAAACACCCGAAGGGATGTGGGAGAAAATGAGGGCTGGCAAGATGGCTCAGTGGTTAAGTCCTCACTTCCAGAGGACTGGGGTTCAATTCTGAGCCCCTACGTGGAGGTTCATAACCACCGACAACTCCAGTCCCAGGAGGTACAAAGCCCTCTTCTGGCAGCACCAGGCATTCATGTGGTGCAGACCTACATGTAGGCAACATCCCCATACACCTAAAAATAAGTAATTTTGAAAAATGAAAACATGCCGGGCGGTGGTGGCGCATGCCTTTAATCCCAGCACTTGTGAAACAGAGGCAGGCGGATCTCTGGGAGTTCGAGGCCAGCCTGGTCTACAAGAGCTAGTTCCGGAACAGGCACCAAAGCTTCAGAGAAACCCTGTCTCGAAGAAAAAGAAAGAAAAAAATGAAAACATTATTTACTCTCAGAGTTCCTAGGCACACTGGTAAGAGAAAAAAGTTGCAAAATATGTGTAATAAAATATAATGTACATAAAAATCTAAACTCCCTAAGACTGTTTATGTGAATAAATATGCATGCAAATATATAAGGAAAAGGTACTAGTCTATACTAACCAGCAGTGGTTACCGTCTGGGAGCGGGTATCAGGGTCCTTCCACATTAGCTCTGCTTTTGTTCCCTTAAAATGTTTATCTGCACAACTAAATATAAGATCAGGAATGCTGGGGGCTGGAGAGATGGCTCAGTGGTTAAGAGCATTGCCTGCTCTTCCAAAGGTCCTGAGTTCAATTCCCAGCAACCACATGGTGGCTCACAACCATCTGCATTGGGGTCTGGTGCCCTCTTCTGGACTGCAGGCATACACACAGACAGAATGTTGTATACATAATAAATAAATATTAAAAATAAAATAAATAAGGTTTTTTTTTAAAAAAAAAAACAGGAATGCTTACATTTCTAATAGTACATTGATAGTTTCCGTAAAATAGCTCACTAGCAAAATCAGCTTCATCAAGAATGAGTTTATCTTTTCCAACTTTGTTCTTTTATCCTATTCCTTACCATCCATTGTTCTTCCCCGGTTCAAATGAAGTAAAGTACATCAGCTTAGTACTTCAAAAAGAAATGACACAGTTGCCAGAAATACCAAAACCAAGAGAAAGGGTAATCTGGAAATAAAAACCATTTAAAAAGTCAACCACAACCTTCTGACTTGTAGCATTTAAGGGATGAAGGTCTTTGGAAGGGTACCATACAACCCAGAGCGGCCATTCTTGTGAAGGACCCAGAACCCATATGATGGCTCGTAACCACTTCTAACCCCCATTCCAAAAGATCTGACCCCCTTTTGACCTGCATGGATACCAGACGTGAATGCATACATGCAAGCCAAACGCCCATAGTCATTTCAAAAGCAAACTTCAAAGACGTCAAGATACTTGGCATGGCTGCTCAGCAAATAAATGCCTGACCACCTTTGATCCCTAGAACCCCATGGTGGGAAGAGAGAACTGACTCCCACACATGTGCTGTGGCTCCCAGGTGTCCATACACACATACACAAAATAGGTAAAGAAATGCGAAAGTTGTGAGAGAAGTTTAAAAGGTGTGAGGCACAGCATTAAGTTGCAGTCTTGGCAAAGACGATACACAACATCCTGGGTAAGCAAAAGTAGTGCTCAGGGTCTACTGAATGGAAGGGTGTCCGTTTAGATGAGAAGCATTTCTGCTCGAAACAGGACGCTCTTTAAAGAACTCAATTTGGGGGCTAGGGATGAAGCTCAGTTGAAGTGTCGGCCTAGCACACACAGAACTCCAGGTTTGATTCCCTGGCACCACACAGACGGACTGCGTGGTGCACAGCACTAAAGAGGTCGAGGCAGGAGGATCAGGAGGAATTCAAGGCCATCCTCAGCTACATAGCAAGTTTACAGCCAGCCTTTTTTCCTTCAATATTATAGTGCTAAAATGCAATTAGAAAAACTGTGCTCAAAACTAAAATTAACTAGTTTTTTTGAAAAGAGAAAGGCCATCAAAGCCAAGACATAAATATAGCATGAACTTTAGTTCATACTACAAAATATATTACTCTGTCACAGGTTTTAAGCACAATACTAACATAGTAGCCTATGATGAGTGGTCCTAATTCTCTGTTACAGGTGTTAAAGAACAACAGCAACATAGTAGCCTATGATGAGTGGTCCTAATTCTCTGTTACAGGTGTTAAAGAACAACAGCAACATAGTAGCCTATGAGGAGTGGTCCTAATACTGTCACAGGTGTTAAAGATAACAGCAACATAGTAGCCTATGATGAGTGGTCCTAACACTGTCACAGGTGTTAAAGACAATAGCAACATAGTAGCCTATGATGAGTTGCCACAAATGTATTACTCTGTAACAGATGTTAATGAACTATAGCAACACAGTAGCCTATGAGTTGCCACAAATGTATTACTCTGTAATAGATATTAATGAACTACAGCATCATAGTAGCCTGTGATGAAGCCAAGCACATGTAACTCAGTGAGTAGCAGCTTTAATTATGAAAACCTGGGCAATGCATTTTGTATTTTAGGAAAGTACATAAAGTCTCTTAATACATAACTGCAAGCTTCCTATTAGTCACTACTATCTACACCTTTTCCTGGAGAGTCTCAAGATTCAAAATGGTCACAAGGACATCAAAAGATAATTTGGAAGTTAAAGGAACAAATCAAACCATGTCAAGAGATAATATAGTTTACCTTTGCAAATGCTACCTCCAATTATCTTCCAATAATTATTAAGGATCCATGGTGTAGAAGACTGATAGCACTTATAAAACAGAAAAGTATAAACTATATGCTAAAAGAAATAAATAGTATCACACTCGTTTAAATGTTCTAATTATTTGGCACATAATGTGTATCTTGCCTTGTCTAGAAAGTATTTGATGACAAAAGAAATGTATTTGTCAAAGTGATGATAAACATTGTTGGGTCAGATAGTTTAATGTATATGTCACTTCTATCTTCTTCTAGTTCCTCAACTTTACCTTTTATTTCTAGAAAACAAAAAAGAAAAAGAGAGAAAAAAAGAAATATCATTGCTCTCTAACACCAAGGGGGGGGACTAATAATTCAGAGCTAATATCTAAAAAAAAAAAAAAGATTTCAATACAGTAATAATCATAATCTTAAGGTATTCTTAGGAGACCCATGAAACAACAAGCATGTATATTTCATAACAAGATGGTACTCATTTCTTTTCAGATTACTGCTTATCCCCAACTGTTGCAGAATACATTTTTAAACACATCCTTCCATAATCATAAAGCAAAACAAGCAGCAAGCTACTCATTACAGAAATAGTGACTGCATACTTAATGAAATTAATGACTGTCTTAAACTAACTTTAGGTTATGTGACATGTATCCACTTGTGGAGAATCAATCCCATCTAGCATCTACTTTCAATATATACCACACAGTGCCTTGTGCCTTTTCCTAGTAGCACAATTATTAGGCGAGGCACACAGATAGAATGGGGAGAAGACAGTGCCAGGGAATCCTTGCTAGTCTCAGCCTGCCATCGCTCTCTTTCCCTTATGTGCAAATGCAGCTGACTGATCTTTCTACTCTTCTTTTTGCTCATTCCACTTAGGCTCTTGCATGCTTCCGAGCACAGCAGGTATACTGTATTTCCTATCTTTGTTACTGAATTAGCATGGATCACAGGCTTAAAGAGAGAATGAAGCGTGTAAGGTGGCAAAGGACAATACAGAGGATAGTTTCTACCCCAGCAATAATTACCTGTAACTCCAGAGCAGAGGCTCCTGTATGGAATTAAGAGTGAAAAACTCAAGCACAGGTCTCCAACGATCAAGTTTAACTTAGTTTAATTCCATCTCTAGTTTAAAAAACAGTATTCTATTCCAACGAGGAAGTGTATTTCCTATCTACAACAGTAGGATTGGCAGCAGTCTTTACTCTTAAAAAAGCCAGCGCATAGGGACAAATCCTCCAATGACTCATGGTTTCTGCTGCCCCTTCTGCCCCTGCATAAACACAACTCCACAGGAACCCAGGGATGGCACAGCACAATCGGCCTGCAATGGGACACAGCTGCAGCTCACTCTCTTGACTCTTTCCATTCTGACCGTCTTCAGGCACATAGCAAAGAGTCAGTGATTGAAATCTGGCAAGGGGGATAAGTAAATAATCTAAACAGAGGGCTCAAAGAACACAATGCTAAGTTAAGTTCCTATTATCTAGATGGTAAGGTGTCAAGTCATTCAACTTTCAGTCTAGATTTAAGCTAGTCCTAAGAATATGGTAGTATTTGCTTAGTGACCATCACCTCCTTGTATTTTCAGAAATGCTTACTAACTGTGTTACTATATTCTAATCCTAGAAAAAGTAAATCCAGGGACCATTCCATCTTATCTTACACACAACATTTACTAGTTTTCCAAGCAAGACAGAAATGGGAAAATAGATATATTAGAACAAGAACAATTTATGTTAATGTCCACAATCTGTTTCTCCTGTGAGCAGTGCCTGATTTTTTTTAAATGAACAAATTTCAGTCCAATGCTAAAAAAAATAAAAAATAAAAAAATAAAAATCCAATGTAGGACTAATTATAAAATAAACAAGAATATGATTTTATAATAAATCTTACCAGCACTGCTGTAACTGTACTATAAAATGCTTCTTCCCATAAAAACTCAAAATAATTCTTATAAAATGAAATACAGCCTTCTATATTCTTTTTTGACAAGCAATGACCACTAAAACATCCTAAGGGATCCAGAAGTGCTGCCTTGGGAGCATCAATCACCACTCAACATGCTATATAAATAAGCCTTGGTCAGTGCTACTACCTGGGACCCCTCTGCTGAGGCCAGTGAACCCATCTCAGGGAAAGCCCTATAAAACACTCAAGTTGTCACAGAAGTGAAACTTGGCAAGCTCCACTCAAATCCTTCTAAGGTAACTGTTCTAAAACAAAATTGGCAGGAGAAACCTTGTTTAATAATAATAATACTAAAAAGGCAAATGCTGCTTTTTGATCGCTGGGATGTAGAGAGGCAAAAAAAAAAAAGGAAAAGAAAAAAAGAAAAAGTGACAACAGTAATAATTCAAGTAAAGTATGTATAAATTTAAACACACCACTTTCGCATTAAGACAAGTGAAGGAGGGTGATGATCGTTATAACAGCGTCAAAAAGCTTAGGTATTATCACCAACGGGTAATTCACTTTACAGTCTCCAATAAGACAATTGTATATACTTTTGCACCTTGCGCTTGTAAAAGCAGATAAAATATTTAATATGTAATTTACAATGTATTTTACCAGCTCAGCATACAGGATGTTTATAGATTATATCAAAGTAGTAGACAGTTAGGGGCCTGTGCAAACCCTGCAAAAATAGAACTTCAGGTATCTGCTAATCAAAAACAAAAACAAAAACAGTATGCTGTTTAGAAGTGATACAATTCAAACTACCACAAAATACAAAGGACTGCAAAAATGTATACCATTCCAACATCATATATAAGTTATTAAATAAAGATCTGATTTAAAAGAATATAAATGAAGCCTTTAAGTAGGTCTTTTCTACATGCATATTATTCCTCATTAAAGAAAAAATATGTAAAAAGGCCATTGGTAATTGCTTTGTTAACATTTGTAGAAAATGCCAATTCTCTGGTCACAAACTCCACTAAGTTTAGCACTTAAGGTCTCTGCAGTGTTATAAACGTAATTTAAAATACTGTTAATTCTATAACTCCATTGGTAAAATGATGTGACTTGGAATATGGCAGTCTTCATGTTCAGGGCAATGATCCACAGTTCCATTTTGTTTTGAGTTTCATAGGTGTGAGCAGCTATCCAGAAGAACAGCACCCTCCACTACCGCTCTGAGCTTGAGGTTCATCGTCGATGATCTGCACACCTCGCCTAGCAGCCCCACCTTGACTAGCGCCGTTGCCTTTAGCTCTCTCGTCCACTTGCGCTGTTTCTATCATTCCTGAAAGCAGAAAGCAAACATGAGTACACCAGTCTTTGGAGTTTTCCCTCTCTGCAAGGCCATTACTCTGCTGCGATAACTAGTTATGAGTTTCAGTCAACAGACACGGTGAATTCTGTGTCAACTCTCAAGACAAATTTTTTTTTCTTTTTTAAATTTATTTATTTATTAAGGATTTCTGCCTCGTCCCCACAACCGCTTCCCATTTCCCTCCCCCTCCCCCGATCAAGTCCCCCTCCCTCATCTGCTCGAAGAGCAATCAGGGTTCCCTGACCTGTGGGAAGCCCAAGGACTGCCCACCTCTATCCAGGTCTCGTAAGGTGAGCATTCAAACTGCCTAGGCTCCCACAAAGCCAGTACGTGCAGTAGGATCAAAAACCCACTGCAATTGTTCTTGAATTCTCAGTATTCCTCATTGTCCGCTATGTTCAGCTAGTCCGGATTTATCCCATGTTTTTTCAGACCTAGGCCAGCTGGCCTTGGTGAGATCCCAATAGAACATCCCCATTGTCTTAGTGTGTGTCAAGACAAATTTTAAGACCTAGAATGCAGAAGGTATAACACCTGGTGCTATAACGGCCACAAAGCAAGCAATAGAAAAAAACATAACACCGTTTTACTGTTTGCATGACACACTGTGTACTCTAAGTATTATCTCGAGATTTTTCAAACAAATCAGAAACAGGCTAAAGTTCAAGTTATTCTTAGCACAAGAGATTAAATTTGGAGCACAGGACTTCTTTAAGAAAATGGTAGGGCTGGAGAGATAGCTCAGCAGTTAAGAGCATTGCCTGCTCTTCCAAAGGTCCTGAGTTCAATTCCCAGCAACCACATGGTGGCTCACAACCATCTATAATGAGGTCTGGCACCTTCTTCTGGCCTTCTTCAGGCATACATGCAAGAAGAATATTGTATACATAATAAATATTTTTTAAAAAATGGTACTTGAGGGGATGGAGAGACGGCTCAGTGGTTAACAGAGCACACTGCTCTTGTAGAAGAACCAGGTCCTACATCTGGAAGCTCCTCTGGTTTCCTCCAACACTCATGTGCACATATCCACACACAGACATACACTTAAACATGTGTATAATTAAAAATAATACATATACTAAACCAAATGGTTTTTGAAAGAGTACAAAGAACTTAAGGGGTGGAGAGGGGTTCAGCAGTTAAGAGTGTTCCAAAACCATAAAGACATGGTGCTTGGATCCCAGCTCCCACATAAGGAGTTAGGTTTTCCAAAAGAAGTCTACTGATTTGCATGGGGACAGAGACAGGAGGATAGCTGGGACTTACTGTTTCTTAGCTGGTTTCTACCCTAACCAAGAAAATGTAGTTTTTGGTTCAAAGAGAAACTCCTAACTACAAAGACAAGGGTGGAGAACGGCAGGAGAGAGGGCATCCACTGCCCTCTTCTGGTCTCTTTTGGCACACATAGACACACACAAAAATGAATCTTAAAACAAATAAAAAGATGCAGGAGCTTCACAGTTGAAGTAACTTATATAAACAAATGTATACATGCAAGAGAAAGAGAGAGAGAGAGACATTCATGTGCATGGTAAGTAGTATAAAACTACACGAATTAGGTGTAGTGGTAAATGCCTTCAATTCCAGCACTCAGGTAGATTTCTGTGTGTCCAGGCCAGTCAGAGTTACATGACAAGAAACAAAACAAAACAACACAACACATCAAAACTCACATGAGTCCTGACAGTGAACAGCTGGGCGCTGGGAGCATGTGCCTGTAATCCTATTATTTGGGGGCTGCCAACAGGAGGATGAGGAGTTCAAAGACAGTCTCTGCTACACAGAGCTCACTACATGAAGCTCTATCTCACACAAGGGGACAGAGGGGGAGAGGGAGGAATTTTTGTGATTGTTGGCTTAGACAGAGATTTCTTATAAAAGAAAACACACATTCATAAGAAACAAAGAAAAACTGACAAATTGAACTTTATTGAAAAGTAAAATGTCTCCTTTTTGAGAAAAAGTTTACAAGAATGAAAATTCAAGACACTGACACAAGAACTTCTGCAGAATACTTAATCAACAAGATGAAGGAAGAAGAGTGGGCAAGTCTTTAAAACAGTAAGTGCCCAAAAGTCTGTGCAGGGCACGGGTCGTGAAGAACACTCTCAAGCTGGGGTGAGCCAGACACTGCAGTGAGAGGAAGTGACATAGTACAGAACCCTGCTTCTCCTTATTTAGTCAGCCTTTCAAGTTTTCCATTTCTAGGTATGTTTTAGAATGTATGAAATGGATTTATATTAGTATCCATGTTAGAGGATTTTAAAATGAATATATGGAGAATAAATATCTTAAGGCATGAGACTTATCTGAAACCTTTTATTTGAAGTATGAGCTGAAACGTGAACTTCAGGCCATAGCCAACTACACCAAAGTGTGTTTTGCACAGACCCTCACAGCAACGGTTATACACTGCGCTGGCACTCAGACCTAGTACACATCAGAATCATACGGAAGGCTTCTTACAGACTGTGCCCCCTCCAGACATTTGATTCAGTAGGTTTGGGAATGGAAGCTGCATTTCTGGTAATCTCAAGCGATGCTAAAGCTGCTGACTAGTAGAGACCTTTTATTCTAGAGGAATTATGAATGACTTCAGAGTCTCAAGTAAAATTTACCCCAAAGTTTGTGTACACATATTTTTTTTCTAGAGCCAAAAACCAGTTTCATCAAATCCTCAAGAAAATGAGGCCCACAAATTTAAAGACTGCAGTTTGACAATCACTCACTATTATCCCACAGACTAACATTCTCCTAAATGTAAGCATTGTAGTGGTAACATGAGAAACGAACGTCAGGTTGCACTTAAAAAGAAACTTGTTTTTCTTTTCTAAGAAAACCTTTTAACATGAAACCTTCAAACATATAAAAATAGAGAAAAGGAGCCTAGCAAAAACCCATCCCCTCATTTTACCCACATTCTAATTGTCTCTACTGCTGTTTTGAATCAAGCTCCAGACACATTTTATTCATGGATTACTTTAATATGCACCTCTAAAATAGAATTTTCTAATGCTTAAACATTTATAATGACACCTAAAAAGACTAACCTTTATGTTTTAATAACAAAATTCAGTGCACATTCATGTACTGATTGTCTTCAAAAATGTTTTTCTTCACTAATCTGTTAATCAAGATCCAAATATGGTCCACCCACTCCAACAAATTGTTATGGCTGTTAAATATGGGTTCCTTTTTTTCATTTAAAAAAAAATGGGTATGTAGAACAGAGATCCACCTTAGATGTCACCCACTTTATCCTTTGAGAAAGGTTTTCACCAGGTTTTGAGCTTGCTGAGTTGCTTAAGCTAGCTGGTCAATGAGCCCCAGGGACCCAACTCCACAGTATGGGGTGGGGGTGGGCTCATAAACACATGCTGCCACTGCTGTGGGTGCTGGGAATCAAACTCAGGTTGTCACAGCTAACTATTGCTTCAGCCGCTTCCGTGTGTTTTAATACACATAGTCTGCTGCTTTTTAAAAACTAATCACACACACATTTTAAATACAGTTAGCAGACATCAAACAATGATTTCAAAACCATTAGTTTATTGCTTAAAACAGATAAAAATACCTAAGATTTTAAAACACGAACCACACAAATACCAAGTAAAAATAGTACAGATAGGTCTAAAAAAAATTCCTGCTTTCATTGCTGAAATGGGCAAAATATCACTCCAGAAAAATTAACAATATTTTTTTTTTTTTGGAGTCAGGGTCTGGATCAGGCTAACCTCAAACTCAGATCCACCTGCCCCAGCCTTTAGGGTGCTGGGATTAAAGGTGTGTGCCACAACTCCTGGCTAGAAACATTAATAGCTGTTTGTAAAAGCCACTTGTAAACATACTTTAGACAGCATACATACTTTTACAGAGGTCAAGGAAGAGCTCCTCGATTCCTTTGTTTTGTTTAGCGGAAGTATGATAATGTTTTGCTCCCACAGAATCTGCATACCTTAAAAAAGAAAAAAATATCAGTCACTGACATGAAGCCCTTGAAGCTTTCTGCAACTGCAATTTTAGTGACTAAGTTTACCTTTATTTTTTTTTTAAATATTTATTTACTTATTATGTATACAATATTCAGTTTGTGTGTGTGCCTGCAGGCCAGAAGAGGGCACCAGACCTCATTACAGATGGTTGTGAGCCACCATGTGGTTGCTGGGAATTGAACTCAGGACCTTTGGAAGAGCAGGCAGTGCTCTTAACCGCTGAGCCATCTCTCCAGCCCTAAGTTTACCTTTATTGATTTACTAACTTAACCAATTTTTGTTACGTTAAGATTATTTAGGTATTTAATTTCTCTATATATTGAACCAAATTAGGGGGAAAAAAACAGAACATAAAAAATGTTGATACAGTCATCTGGAACTGAAATACTTGGTTTTTGTGGCCTCCAACCATTTAATCTTGATAGCCTGTTCTCACACCAGCCTTTCAATTTCAGTGAAATCAAAAGAGAAATGGAGAGAGGACTATCTGCTCTTGCCAGATGTTCAGCATCTCACCGTACAAATACGCTTCCCGAGAACAAGAGTTCAGTCCACCAAGGCAGACTGTGAGAGTTTGGTGCACACCCTGAGGGGTCAAAGCTAACTGTCAAAGCCCACAGGAAGCAGGTGGCGCTGCTGGGGAGCAATGGGAACGCGGGGGGGGGGGGGGGGGGGGGGGGGGGGGAAGCATGACACTTACGACTCTGCTTCTTGGATGGAAACGTGTCTCTCCTTTTCCAAGTCTATTTTATTACCTAATGTGAAGGAAGGAAACACTGATCTTAATAATGATTTATTTTTAATACAATTAGACAGTAATAAATATATAATTGTAACTAATTATTTGAAAAAATGACAAGAATTCCCCTCAGATTTCTAAATGTCTCAATCACAAAGATGTGAGAGCTGTTCATGACCATCAGGCCTGTGTCTCACCGCCTGCAACAGGGCAGCCTGCTCTCTTCCAAGGAGAAGGGCACTGCTCTTGAATACAGGGACAGCAGGGGCTAAGATTCATTAGGAAGTACAATGATGTTTTATTAAGGTATATAGACATTTTCCCCTTTTTTTATATACTTGTTTTTAATTGAGCTGTACATTTTCCCCACTTCCCTTCCTTCCTCCCTTCTCCTCGTCCATCTTCCCCTCTTCCCCCCATACTCCCAATTTAAAATTCTTTATTCCCCAATCAACTTTAAACCAATCATTAATTAACTATAACTCTTGATTTACTAAAATATATCAAGTTTGCATCTTGGGCACTAAAAGGGTACTCTTCCTTGATGACCTGAACTAGTTAAAGGAAAAAATTTTAATGTATGAATTTTTAAGTATCCCTCCACCAGAGATTAAGTACATTGTTTATAAAACAATTTTAGTGACCTTTCAGAACTTAATATATACATGTCACATAGATTTGAAATTACTGAAAATAAGTTTAGTCTTTCTTAAACAATGGAGCTACGCTAAGATTTTTCTGAGAAGCAAACAGATCCTTATTGAGTACTGGACAGAAGTTAAGATGACCTGGGTGGATACAGAGTAAAGGTCAGAGAAACAACAAACAGATGGAGGCGGGAGGCAGCAGAAGGAAGCATGCTTTAATCAAATGGTTCCATTTCTTCCATTTTAACTTTTAGACAGAATAAATAAACCTTATAAAGTAATGAGCAAAGCACCCAATGAAAGATGAAGTGTTCATCAAAAAGAAATGCAAGTCACGAGGTGCTATATACTGAAGATCTCAAAAAACCTGAGCTCTTAATAGCTGGTAGCTGCAACAAGCTATCTGTCCGCATTGCCCATGGATGAGAGTGTGAGAGGGTAAATATTAAAGTCAGTGAGCTCCAACTGACTCAGCTTTGAGTCCTATTCTCTGAACAGATATACTCAGCTGCGAGTACTACATTAATTTCACTTTCTACATTGTGGTCTGCCAATAAAATTCAATCAAATATTATAGCCAGTATACTGAACAGTAACCAGATACAGCAAGCCATTTATCCTATAAATACAAGTAGCACCACCGGGTGTCAGGTGTCTCCTATAACACTTCATTACAGTGGAGAGATGGCTCAGTGGTGAAGAGGACACATTGCTCTTCCAGAGGACCTGAGTTCACTTCTTGCCCCCACGTAGGTTCACAACTAACTGTAATTCTACCTCCAGGAAGGGAAGAGCCTGGGGCCTTCATGGGTACCTGCACTCACATGTACATAATACTTGCCCCCAACATACACAGAATTAAAAATAATAAAAACAAATCTAGCCAGATGTAGTGGCATATACCTTTAATCCCAGAACTCAGAAGGCAGAGGGAGACAGATCTCTGAGGTCCAGGCTAGCCAAACCTACATAATGAGTGTCTTTGTCTTTCTGTCTCTCTCTACATAAGTGTGTGCTTTATGTTTTACACACACACACACACACACATATTTAAATAATTTCATTATATTAGAAAAAAATTGGGAAAGCATGACTGAACAATACTTCTAAAAAGAAGATAAAGGTTTTGTTAGCTATAATCTACATAAAAGAAGCCATGAGTTGACTTGACTGTTAAAATATGGAAGCCTTGAGCTGGGCACGTTTAGGACTATAATCCCTATAACTCCTGTATTCCTGGGAGTCTAACATTGTACCTCATGACGAGCTAGCAGCCCTTGAACACCTCAAGAACAGTTGTGAAGTACAGTGAGCCTGTGATTCCTCTGGAAGAGCAAACAGCAGTGGAGAAATACCTCATTGTCACAATGCATGACTCAGAGGGCAAGGGTCAGACATCATTTTGAGAGAACCTGTCTGATAATGAGGTACCCTGAGAATGGGCAACAACCACAAGATACAAGATAGAGGAGCTAATTTAATTTGCAATGATCCCACAGCAAGGGAGCCCTAGAAGGCAATGCAGAAAAAAGGGTCAGATGCTGACCAGTACCCAAGGCAGGAGGCCCATGCCAGGAAGAAAAGTTGACAGAATCCATCTCATGTACCGAGAATAACCTGGCAGTATGACGGGCCCTAGCGTAAGAGTGGTGAAGTAGAGCAGCCTCCGGAGTCATCCATCCTCAGCTACTGCTATACTCTGATCAATGAAGCTCCACTGGGCTGCTGACACCCACAGCTGCATCCTGCCAGCAGGGCAGTGGTTCTTAAGAATGGATTCACAGGTCCTCAGACTTTGCACATTTGAGTGATGTGGTTGCTTCCTATGATCTCCACACACTTGGGGGACAACCCTGAGCTAGGAGAGCCGCCCTGGGAACTGTGTGCTAGAGAGCCAAGAGCTCCTGACCAACCCTCAGAATGCAAAGCCAAGTGTTGCTAGCTGAGGGCCATCATACAAAGAGACTAGGCTGGTTGGCACCGGCACCAGTGAATGTCAGACACTTGTAATGTGCAGGCTCAACAGCAGCACAAACAGGAGGAGAGGTGAGAGCCCGCAAGCTCAAGCCCCTCCTCCCTACATAAGTGGAATTCTTTACTTTTTGAAAATCAAGAAAGAAGCTGTTCCAATACTTATCTGTTCATACCTTTCTCTTTTTATTATTATTTTTTTTGTTTTATTTTTTTGAGACAGGTTTCTCTGTAGCTTTGGAGCTTTATCCTGGCACTTGCTCTGTAGACTAGGCTGGCCTCAAACTCAAAGATTCACCTGCTTCTGCCTCCCGAGTGCTGCACCAACACTACCTGGCTTTATTATATCTTTTAAAAAGATTTAATTATTTATTATTCATAATGTGTGTGCCTGTATTAGTATATGTACATATACTAATGTGGGTGTGTGTGCAGGTGCCCACAGGTCAGAGGCCATTAGCAAAAGCCGTTAAGTACTATTTAAAAAGGTCCTCTCTTTATTACATCATAAGCAGCACTTTTGCTACACTTCTAAAGCTTTTCTATTCCCTTCTGTACAAGCCATCTATTTAGGCTCATTATTTATCATTATTGGCAATACTGCCCCACCACTGTCTGCTCCATATCCTCCACTCTCCACAACACACACTTTCTCTCTCTACTATACTTTTAGCAGAATGGAGGAATTCACTAATAACATTACAGAAGAAAATTTCAAAAATCTTACGAAATGGACTTCCAAATTCAATTAGTATTTAGAACCCCAAATAGACAGAACAATAAAACAGAATTAAAAGACAATGAACGTGAAAGAAGATCTCAAGTTAGAGGCTAAGGAGACAAATGAGAAAGTAACTACATATGACATAAAAGTGCGAGAGGGGACTACCTGTATGTGGGACAGCAGCAAGGACATGACCACCAGGGGCAGGGTGGGTAAAGCCATAAGGGAGAGGGATAAATAGAACACAGTACAATGGCATGCACACAGGAGAGCACCACAGTGAACCTCACTACAGGATATGCTAGCCTTTAAAGCAGACACAAACTTGAAAACAAACAGTTCTCTTAAAAAGTGGAGGTGCACACCTGCGATGCTGGCTGTCAGGAGACCAAGACAGAGGATCGTGCTAAGTTCAAGGCAAGCCTGGGCTATACAGCTAGACTTAGTCTCAAAAAGCCTAAACAGTAAGCATAGGTTACAGCGATTAAGAGGAGGCCAACAGGAAGAACACAGCGGAAGTCTTCGCGAAGAGTCATGAGATGGTGTAGGTGGGATTCTTCCACTGTGTCAGGTCAGACATAGTGCCGCAAGGACAGCGTGTCCTAGACTAAAACAAGAAACCGCTGGAACACATCCGCGGAGTTAACTAACACCTAGTCCACGAACATCTGATCTAATACACCTGGAGGAAGTAACCCTCCTGACCCCCTTCTTAACTCTTCCACACTCTCCAGGTCATCCTAAGGACAAGAAAATGCAGGAATAAGGTAAATGAGTTCTTAAAATTGTTCTAAATTTCATGTCAAACTTGCCAGGAGATAGAAAAACTTGTATCTCATGCTCCCCATTAATAAACTGTGTTATATAAAGATTACTCAACTTCTTTAACTTTCCATATATATATAAATAATTCTGCTCTTCAGAAAGATAACAAAATATCATAAAAAAATTAATCTTCAGTTACTTACCTACTGTGTTAGAGTGACCCCTTGTGCTACACAAAGCCATACAAATCTCATTAACAACTAGCTAAAACTTTGTCCTCAAATTCCTATGTGATCTATTACTCTAGTGTTCCTGTCTCACGGATCCCTGCTTGACTAATTCCTCAAATGTAAAATAAGAAGGAGCAAATCATTTCTCTTCTCTCTTCCCTAGAACTCATACTTTGGTAGGAGACCATACAGTTACCCATCTAAAGGTAATAATATGTATGAATGGTAAATTCCAGTTATGAATAAATTCCTGGGGCTAAGAGTAGTATTTTCCCATGCAGATCACTCCATTGCTTCAATTTCCAAAATAACCACCGCTTTTATCCTCCACTAAATTATCCTGGCTTCAGAGTTGGAGAGATAACTCAGTGGTTAAGAGCACTTGCTCTTCTTCCAGAGAACTTGTGTTCACTTTCCAACAGCCACGTGATGGCTCACAACCACCTGTAGCTCTAGTTCTATGGGGTCTGAAAACGTGTTCTTACTTCATGGATGCGGGGGGGCTGGAGAGGTGGCTCAGAGGTTAAGAGCACTGGCTGCTCTTCCAGAGGTCCTGAGTTCAATTCCCAGCAACCACATGGTGGCTCACAACCATCTGTAATGAGATCTGGTGTCTCTTCTGGTGAATATATGTTAACAGAACATTGTATGCATAGTAAATAAATCTTAAAAAAAAAGTTTGGCTTTACTTCATGGATGCCAGGCAAGCATATGGTGCACGGACATACATGCAGCCAAATGCCCATCAACAGACATTTTTAAAAATAAAAAGTTAAGAAATAAAGGTTTTTTGCCACCATGCCTGGTCTGGCCACTTACACACACACGAAAAAAAAAAGTAAGAAAAACTACAAAAACAAACTATTCTGGTTTCTCCAAGCTCAGTCTTATTATTATGAGCCACAAAAGCAAAAGCCAGCATCATCTTTGGCAGCTGTTTGATGCCAGGTAAGTACATATCCAGGACCCCACTTCCCTGCAATTCCCCTGTAATGTCCAGGACCCCACTTCCCTGCGATTCCCCTGTAATGACAAGGACCCCTCTTCCCTGGGATTTTCCTATAATGTCCAGGACCCCACTTCCCTGCGATTCCCCTGTAATGACCAGGACCCCACTTCCCTGGGATTCCTCTGTAGTGTCCAGGACCCCACTTCCCTGGGATTCCTCTGTAGTGTCCAGGACCCCACTTCCCTGGGATTCCTCTGTAGTGTCCAGGACCCCACTTCCCTGGGATTCTCCTATAATGTCCAGGACCCCACTTCCCTGCGATTCCCCTGTAGTGTCCAGGACCCTGCTTCCCTGCGATTCCCCTGTAATGTCCAGGACCCCACTTCGCTGTAAAGCCCTCAGGGTTATAAGGGTTTTATAATGGTGCCGACTACATACGCATCACTATTTCTAATATATGCTCCCCACTCAGTAACTGTTAAATTAGAGAAATATTTTTTTAAAAAGGGACCCGAAGAGAAAGTCTAAAGTCTAAGACTGGGGGCTGGAGAGATGGCTCAGAGGTTAAGAGCATTGCCTGCTCTTCCAAAGGTTCTGAGTTCAATTCCCAGCAACCACATGGTGGCTCACAACCATCTGTAATGGGGTCTAGTGCCCTCCTCTGGCCTGCAGGCATACACACAGACAGAATATTGTATACATAATAAATAAGTAAATAAATAAATATTTAAAAAAAAATAAAAATAAAATAAAGTCTAAGACTGGTCTTAGAGGTCTTTTATTTACTATTCCAGAATCATGAACTACCTATGTTCTTGAAGTCAGTCTGTTCTCAATTTAAAAAAATGTGTACAATTAAGTGGACACACAAGAACTGGCTCACTTAAAGCAGTTCTTATACTCTTCCTTTTCTTTTTTTAAAGAGCTAAAACTTCTGGTGAAAAGGTAAATGATGAAGCAAGCCTGGGACCCTCACTAGGTCCTAGGGGTATCCCTTGAAATGTAGCGCTTAAGTCTGCTGGAAAAGTCAACCCCAAGTCTAAAAGAGAAACACTAAAATGTCATAATTCTTTGGTCCTGCTATTTTTTTTTTTTTTTTTTTTTTGGTTTTTCGAGACAGGGTTTCTCTGTGGTTTGGAGCCTGTCCTGGAACTAGCTCTTGTAGACCAGGCTGGTCTCAAACTCACAGAGATCCGCCTGCCTCTGCCTCCCGAGTGCTGGGATTAAAGGCATGCGCCACCATCGCCCGGCTTCCTGCTATCTCTTTAAAAAAAAAATTATTTGTTTATTTTGTCTTTAACCAGGAGAGAAAGGACCAATACTTACCAACTATACACAAACAGATTTCATTTCCCAACATTTTCCTTAGCTCTTTGACCCAGTTTTTTACCTGTGTACACAAAAGAGTAAACATGACAACAAATCCTGCTGGAGTTAGTACACCTAAAGCCCATGGGTATACAAAAACATACCTCTGACTACAAATTTTTACATATTTTTCAGACATCCAAGCAAAGCTATTTGCCAGAACCAAACTTTGTCAAGTACAGATCTGGTATTAAGATACTTGTAACAGAGTCACTTCGGATTTAGAAAGGTATGACCATAGCATTTTTGATCAAGCCCCAATTGATTCCTATTAGACACCTTTTTGTTAAAGACTTAAGGAGAAAAATAAGTGTAAGGGTACTAAAAAAGTGTGCATTGCAAAATAAATGTTCACTATTTATTATCCAATAAAAGTTTTCAGTTGGCACTGACATTGTGGCTGAAATATCCCTTTGCTATGAGGCTGGTTGTGTCTGATTATGTGACTGTGTAGTGAAGTTCCTGGCCTCTACCAAGAGAAGGCAGCATCACTCTCCCACAGTCTCGAGATTTTTGTCATCCATGGTGCAAATGTCTAGTATAAGATAATTGCCCACTAAGGAAGAAGCTCAGCCCTGGACACAGCTGAATAGAAACTGGAATTACTGATACTAATCTTTTAGATATTGTAATACAATAATGGGATTATACTCAGACAGCATGATAAGGAACAAACCAGGACACCTGCTTTCAATTTTTACAGTAAAATTTAATTTATATGTAATCAAGTCTCATGAAACATATATACCCTCCATAAAACAATGCACATTTGTAAGTTAGAAAAATTTCATTATTTTGGGGTGAGCATTTACTGTGCATCTGGATCTATAAAATGAGTGTTCTACACTGTTATTCTCTACAAGAATGCAGAACTATTAATTATTATAAAAGCAAAGGTAATTATTTTTATCTTATAATAAACCACAATTCTCTCAGTACAGCTCAATTTAGTTGATTTCACATGAGAAATAGATGATAGAACGGTAAATGTATATCTTCAATATGAACTAAATATTTTGGTAAATAATGGTCACCAATTATGCTTATTTATGTATGCTTTACTGTTTAAAAACTAGTCACTGGTGGACGCAGACATATTAATAGAGATCAAAAACAAACAAATATAAAACCAGTGTGGTTCTTCTAATTAAGTCATCTATGAAAAAATACCTTCTGAAAAGAATCTTCATCCGTTATATCGTAAACTAAAATAGCTCCGTTAGAATCGCGGTAGTAAATTGGACCCAATGCATGGAATCTCTCTTGACCTGCTGTATCCTAATAAAGAATAAATGCTTATTAGATCAAAAGAAAAAAGCACATGGCTGCTATTTTAACTACAGTGAACTTTTAATTATTGGAATGGAGGTCATAAAGTCACAGATAACTCCAAACTAAAAGAAACAAAACACGTTAAAGAATACCCTAATGTTTAAACGTCATATGATGCTGCTCCTGAGACCTCCTGTCCCCACTAAAACAGCAGCTCAGTGCTGCATGGTTAAAGCAGTGGGAACAGTCCCTGCCTACACTGAGGATCTCGGGAATGTTAGAAGAGGGCACACATCAGGACTACTAGCTACTCCTAGCAGGCTGCCCCATCAACTCTATCCTTGCTGCAAATGAAAAAATTATAGCAGCAATATGTAGATAGAAAGCTACATTCCAAATATAATTCTTAACTAGATTTTAGGAACTTTTTAATTAAGGAAATGGCTTTGGCTAACTAGCTTATTTATTTACTTTTAAAAAACAAACTCTGAAGTCCAAATTCCTGTTCCTCCAGTCAGTTAATTAGAGTATTTCTGAAGCCAAGCATAGTGATGCACCTTTAATTCAGCATTCAAGAGGCGGGGGTAGGAGGATCTCTGTGAATTTGGGGTCAGCATGGTCTACAGAGTGAATTCAGGACAACCAGAGTGACATAGTAAGACCCTGTCTCAAAACAAACAAAAATAATATTTCTGAATACTTACCCATATGGCAAGGTTTACTCTTTTCCCACCAATATTTAACTTCTTTGTTAAGAAAGATGCCTAAAATAAGAGAAGTATATGTTAAAAATGTTTTATATAAAATAATGTCCTTCACCCTAACTCTACATTAATGAACGAGTCATCCTCATGTCAACTTAGATTGCCTGACAGCAAAGGCAATCATTCAATTTTTAATGTATGGCCAACTATTATTTTCATTAAAGACAAAATATTATGCATATTCTAAGGAAGTGTATCTTGTTTTATGAACACAAATTACCAAAACTCTAAAAGAATATAAGAAAAGTTGAGGATGCAGTAAACATCCCTAGGAGATCCTCAGTGGGTAAAGCACTTCTCATCAAATGTGAGAACCTGGCACGATGACCTGAATTCTCATTCCCAGAATCTACTTAGACATATGCATGTCTACAATCAAGGCACACCTAAAGTAAGATGGGATACAATGGGAAAATCCCAGCCTCTCTGTGTAGCTGGCCTGGCCTACACAATAAATACCAACAAAAGTATCATCTCAAAATGAGCTGAAGTCAAGGACTGACAACCAAATTTGTCTTCTGACTCCCACACATTGTGCTACACACATACACACCTGCATACAACATACACAAATACATACTGTAGGGGCTGGAGAGATGGCTCAGTGGTTAAGAGCATTGCCTGCTCTTCCAAAGGTCCTGAGTTCAATTCCCAGCAACCACATGGTGGCTCACAACCATCTGTAATAAGGTCTGGTGCCCTCTTCTGGCCTGCAGGCATATACACAGATAGACTATTGTATACATAACAAATCAATAAATAAATATTAAAAAACAAATACATACTGTAAAAAAATTAATGTTGAAACAGAGTCTCTGGGTAGTCCTAGCTGACCTAGAATTCACAAAGATTCTCCTGCCTCTGCCTCCCAAATTTAAGGTGTCTGCCACCATATCGCTCCCCACATTTAAAAAAAATAATAAAACACCCATAAATACACAAAGAAAATGGTGCCTGCTTTTTATGTTTTTTTTTTCCTTTCTGTATAGGCAACAATTTTCCCTAAAGCATTTACTTATTTACTGATTAAAAAGAATATCTAGAAGATTCCTGAGATATCTAACATTGCTCGAGACGGTTCTGTGTCTACAATTCAACACATATCTCTGCCAAAGAAATGAAAGGACATGGCCCCATGCTTTGCAGGGGAGCTTAGTCTACTAGAGAATGACTGTACAGAGAACACAATTTTTGCTATGCTGACTGAAACAGAGGATCCTGTCAATGATTATAAGGGGCACGCTGAGAAAGGAAGTTCAGTGCTTGCCAGGATGCGTTAAGGTAATGAATGATCTCTCCACTAGGTGCAGCTGGAATTTTTCCTAACCATAAACAAAACCACTGAAACCTAAAACAAATGAGGTCACCCTCAGGGGAGCTTCCAGTTGGTATAGTTAATGCCAGAGTACGAACACATAAATGAGCAAGGGCTAAATCAAAAGATCCTAGATTGTGGCTCAGAGTGGTCTCAGCAAACAAAGGTGCTTTTCTCAAGGCAGACAACCTGATTCAATCCCAGAGACCACATGGATTTTTTTTTAAAGCTCCTATGAAGGGGCTGGGGAGATGGCTAGTGGTTAAGAGCACTTTGTTCTTGCAGAAGACCTGGGTTCAATCCCTGCCCTAAACTGCGGATCTCTGTAATGCAGAAGAGGGCACACATCAGGACTACTTGCTAACACGTGCCCAGCACCCACATAGTAGATCACAACCATCTGTAACTCCCATTCTAAAGGATATTGCACCCTCTTCTGACCTCCATGGGCACCGGGAATGTATATGTGGTACATAGCTATACATGTGAGTAAAAAGCCCATATGCACAAATAAATCTTAAAAAAATTAAAAGAAAAACCCCAAGGGTATAAACTTGGCATTGTAAACTTTCACTTTTTCTCTTCTGAGACAAAGTCTCACATATTCCAGGCTGGTCTCAAACTCACAATGTAGACAAGGATGACTTGAACTCCTGACCCTCCTGCCTCTATCTCCCACGTGCTGAGATTACTTGTGTAGCACAATCACCATGGCTTATTATCAAACCTCAGGTTTCAAACATGGTAGGCAGGGACTCTACCAAATGAACCATATCCTTGTAGGTCTTAATAAAACCTGTCCTAAAAATATTAGCTGCCCCCCAAATCAGGCAGATCTGGAAAATAGTATATAACACTTTCTAAATTTCATAATATATACGAGCACCTTACAATTCTGTCGAAAGGCAGCTGGCTAAGTGCACTTACACAAGCATCCCCTAAATCATTTGCCCTCTCTCTCACTCCTCAATTTCTTCTTTATAAAACTAAACATCTTCTTCCCTAAAGAAGTCTCTATCCTAAGAAGCACCTGCAAAGAAAGCACACCAGGGCATGGAGAATCACTAAAGGGTTAAGACCTTTTAAGAGAATGTGGGATTAGAGGTTGGATTAAGGATGAGACCAGACTGGAAAACAGAACTCTACTACAAAGTTAAAGACAAAACCAAACAGAACTCAAACGATGAAGACATAGGACAGAATGAAGAATAAACGAAGACCAATAAGGTATGGGAGCACATGCCTGTAATCTTGGTTCTTGAGAAGGCTGAGGCAGGAGGATAAACTCAAAGTTAGCCTGGTTATACAGTGAGAGCCTGTCTCAAACAGAATAACTTATCAAACAGGAAATGTACCCAGAGGCCAGAATTAGTTAGCATGTTTTTAAAAGGAAGAGAACAGAGTTCAGAGCTGTGGCAAAGCAGTCACATGCATGCAAGTTTATCTACAGAGAGGAAAATGCAGAAGGCAAAAGAGGTGAGCATGGCAAATTTCTGACAAGGAGAAGCGTGTGCTCCAAGTGTGCTGTGGCACTCCAGGGAAGATCAGAACCCAGAACCGCCTTTGAATTCAGTGACTGCGGTGTCCATAGATAGGATAAACGGCAGAGTTGAGATAAACATGGGAATAGCTGCTTCCAAGAGACAAGCTACAGTACTGCAGATAGTAAGTAAAAAATAGATTATATTGAAAAGGACCAAAAATAAAATAAAATAACTTAAATGGTAAAATAGAAAACCTTGGAATATGAGAAGGCCACAAATTAAAATAAGACAAATTAATAAAAGATTTCTCCCACTTTGTAGCACAGAAGCTAAGAAAATTATTTTTAATTTGAATCTCACTTTGCTTTTTACCAGATATTTAATTTACTTGATTTCAACCCTTCCTAATATGGTTTTTAAATATCAGTGCCTTGTAGAAGAAATGTAAACTCTGAATCCTAGCCAAATTCTATGACTCTTTATCAAATATATCTATAAAACTAAATGAATTGATCTTCCCTGCAAATTTGCTTTCCATCTTTCCAACCAGTGTGTAGATGTGTACATGTGTGTGCATGCATGTGCATGTTTAAAGACAGGGTCTTAGCACACTGCACAGGTTAGTACTGATTTCCAAGATTTGTTCCTCCTGTCTTAGCTTCCTCAGAGGCCATGACTACAGGCGCACACCACTGTGCCAAGCAATCTCTAAGGGTTAGAATTTTAGAAACAGCTTCTTCCCTTCCAGCCAATATCCTGCCCCCAAACCTCCCAAGTCTAGTCTTCATATTTTCTGAGGAATTCTATGAATTCTATGACACTCTGACATCACAGCAGGTCATTTGCTCTCCCCCTATAAACTGGCTTTATTCTGCATGTAAAATTATCTTCCCCGTGCCTCTTGATATGATTCACATATTTCACACTGGACTTTCTGGGAACCTAAGCTGTAACACATGGAATATACTGTCTTGCACTATAACTTATCTTTTCAGGATATAAGAATTCTACTAGCTAGGTTACATTTTTTTATCCAGTCTTTTTAGACTAAATTAAAATGGGCAATATTTTAATAGCTTTTCAAATTAACTTATTTAATTCTCAAAACATGCTGTAAGCCAGAGGTAATTACTACACAAACATTTTAGGCATGGAGATTATTAAGACTCAAGGAGTGTCTTGCTCATGGTTACACAAGTATCAAGTAAGAGCTACAGTCCAGACAGTCTAAGAACACCCTAAACCACTAGACTTGGTACCTCCCAGGCTGGCATCTGAACTGACACTGCTAGGTCAGGAGCTGGACACATAATCTCTGCTCATTTTACCGCATTCTTAGTTTTCAGTATTTTATATGTATTTTTAAGAGCAAATACTGTTTTTGAAATACAATTATAGGTTTAATGTAACATCAGAATACCAGCAAATAATCAAAGGTCTGACATTTGTCTGTTTAAATTAGTTTCACAAAAACATACACTTAATTTAGCCAGATTATTAAACTCCCTTTGCGATTGTAAAATATGGGGCAGCATATTTCTTAATTTTGCTCTATGGTAGCAAAGGTAAGAGGAAACAATTGTGGATTTAAGAATCATGCGTACTGAGCTGTCTCTTTGGAACCTATTCCCTATGGTGGAGCCTCCCAAGAATGTTCAGTCTTGACGCAGGGAGCAGGAGCTTGGTCCTGCCTCAACTTGATATGCCATGCTTTGTTGATTCCCATGGGAGGCCTTACTCCATCTGAATGGAGATGGGAGAAGAGTGAATGAAGAGGAAGTAGAAAGGAGGGGGAAGAAACTAGAGTAAAGGAGGGAAGGGAAACTGTGGTGCTATGTAAAATAAAAAAATGATGGAAAAAATCATGCTTATACTGAAAACAATTTCTTTCAACATTTCCAGGGGATTATCCGTGGCTGGCAACTCCTCAATAAGCACCATCTGCTAGAAGGGGAGGAGTATTCAACAATAGTAATTCAGAAGGTGCTAGGCTTGGGGGTGGGGCTTACAGACTATAAAAGCTCTGTGCTAAAGCTAGAAATCTGAGATCTACAGAAATACAGTGACTCAGCCCAGGTCAGATAATTAAGGCGGATGCAGCAGTGGGTGGACTCCATAACGCCTTTCCCACTGCACAAAGCTGTCTAGCCAAGAAAGCATAAGCTTCTTAACCTGGCAGTCCTCCATTTGGATAGTAAGTG